AAATGTGGATTTGGCTCTCAACCCCCAAATTCTGTGCACTAATTAGTTTATGGACGTCCCAGGAATACTTGAGGACTACACACCATCCTTAAGAATTTGCTCATTTCATCTAAGTTATTCAATTTTCTGGCATAAATGCTCATAGTAATCTCAAAATTTTCTTTATTTCTGAAATGTCTGTAACTTGACTTTCATTTCTGATTCTCTTTATTAAAGTTTTCTCCATTTTTTTCTTGATGAGTCAAGATAGAGGATTGTCTATTTTATTGAATTTTTCAAAGAACTGGCTTTTGGTTTCACTGATCCTTTGGACTGTCTTTTTGAGTTTGATTTCATTTATTTCTGCTCTAATTTCTATTATTTCCTTTCTTCTGCTGGCTTTTGGTTTGTTCTTTTTTTCTAGTTTCCTAAGGTAAGAGGTGTTTAAGTTCTTTCTTATTTCTTGATGTGGGTCTGTATAACTACATACTTTCCTCTTACTTTTGCTTTATCTGTGTCCCATACACTCTGTCTTTATTTTTGTTCATCTCCAGGTATTTAAGAATTTCTGGTCATTCAGTAGAGTGTTTGTTCAATATCAATACACTAGAAGTTTTCCCTGCTTTCTGTTTGTGGTTGATTTCTACTTTGAATTTGTGATCAGAGAATATACTTGATATGATTTCAATCTTCAAGAATTTGCTAATACTTGTCCTGTGACTCAATATGTGGTCAGTTCTGGAGAATATCCCATGTACACTTGAGAAGAATATGTATTCAGCATTTGGGGAGATGCTGTACTCTATAAATGTATATTTACCCCATGTGATCTCATTCTTTGTTTAATGCTGTTGCATCCTTATTTATTTTTTGTCTGGTTGTTCTATCCTTTGGTGAAAGTGAGGTGTTGTTGTCCCCTTCCATAAATGTGTTTTTTCCAATGTCTGTCTCATATTTGCTAGTGACTGCCTTATATATTTTGGTGCTCTTGGTTTGGTGGGTCTATATTGATGAATGTTATGTCTTCTTGATATATAGTCTCTTAATCGTTATATAGTGTCCATTCCTGTCTCTTTTTTAGGTGGAAATCTATCTTGTATTTTATCAGATACAAGTATGGCTGTCCTTGCCTTCCTTTGGGTCCCATATGTTTGTAGGGTTGTTTTCCAATTCTTTGTTTTAATCTGATGTTCATCTTTGGAGCTCAGGTATGTTCCTGGAGACAGCAGAAAGTTGGATTCTGTTTATTTTTTAATTGGCAAGTTCAGTGCATTTAGATTTAGCATGATTATTGATATATGAAGGTCTGCTACTACTTTGATCTGAATTTTGTGGTTCTATCTTTTCCTTGTTCAGTTATTTGTGGATGTTCTATTCTATTTAGATATGAGTGCTCATTTAAACATTTCTTGGAGGGGAGGTAGAGTGCTGGTAGACTCCTTAAGCTTCTGTTTGTCTGAGAAGGCCTTTAAATCTCCTTTCTGACTGGCAGCTTTTATCTTTAAATATTTTGATCAAGTCATTCTATTTTCTCCTTGTCCATTAGTGTTTCTTCAGAGAAGTCAATTGTAAGACTGATTGGAGTTCCTTTACATGCTATCTGTTTCTTGCCCTTCGCCACCTCCAATAGTCATTTTTGTCTCGAATCCTAGAAGTTTTACTACTATGGATCTTGCTATAAGTCTCATTCTGTTGATGTAACTTGGTGTTCTTTTACCTTCATCAACTTGTATATTTAATTGCTTTTCCAGTTTTGGGAAGTTTTTCTCTATTACTTCTTTAATAATTTCTATCTTTTCCTATCTGTTCCCTTCTATCTCTCCCCCCCCCCCACTCTGGATACCCAGTAATCTTATATTGCCTTGGGTAAGGCAATTCAATGGAGTTGGATAATTCTCAAAGAGATTTTTCATTTTTTATTTTGTGTCTCTTTTTCTTCTATCTGAAGTCTCTGTGCACTCTCATCCTCCAAACCATTGAATCAATCTTTCATTTGATCTATTCTACTTCCATAGCTTTCTCCAGAATTTTTTTTATTGATCTTTTAACATCCTGTATCTCTGGTATCTTTTTATGTAAAGCTTCCATTTCAATCTTCTGTTCATTTATTTTATTTCTCAGGACATTATTTTTCTGAATTTTCCTATATATCTTAGTCCTGCTTTTCTGTGTTTTCTTCCCTTTATTTGAATTTCTTTATCATGGCAAGTTTGAAGTCTTCATCTAATAGGAAGAAAATATCTTCCATGTTTTTGTAGTTGGGTTTTGTTTTCTCTTTGTGGTGTAATATTCCCCTGAGGACTCAGATTGCCATTTGTTATGTATTTTTTGCCTCCCAATTATTTGGTGGGGAGAGGAGATTATTATGGGTGAGGAGCTACCAGTAGATGGTGCTATATGTCAGGAAGGTTTAATCTGTAACTGGGTTTTCAGTGAGTGTAGGTGGGGCTTCATCACTCCTGAGTATGCTGTATCCCAGCTTGGCTTGTGTCTGTGTCAGCCTTGTTAGCCTTTGATCTGTATCTCTGCAGCCTATGGGGTGGGCCTTTGGTGCAGCCCTGATGTGTTCCAATGTGTTTTTCTATGCTTGGTCCCCCTATCTGCTCACTCTTGGGGGAACTGGGTTTTGGGTGTCACATCTTTCTGAGCTTTGTTTTCCTCACTGGTTACTCCATTGTTTAGGAGCAGTTCTGGCACATTCCACCAAGGGCTTCAATGTTCACTCTGTCCCCCTATCTGCCTACTCCTGGGGAAAATGGATGTTGGGGGTTATGCCTTTCTGGGCTTTTCTGGCCCCCTCACTGGGGGTCCCATCTGCCTGTTTCATCATAGCACTCTCCCACAGTTAGATCCACAGCAATCAGTCCTGCCTTCTGTGGTTTGAATCATGGTGTCTGCCCTGGCAGCAGTCACCTTTTCAGGTACTCACTGCTTCTCCCCTTTAATTTGATTTTTCTCTCTGTCTCTTTTGTCTTGATTGGTCAATGTTGGTTCTTGGTGACTGTGATATACTCCAATTTCACCCCACATACCAGGATCCTCTGAATTCAGTGCCTGTTTGGACTTCTTAGTATTTATCCCTGGTGCAAAGCAGGGTGCTTCCTTTGATTCTCTCTCCTCCTGAAAGCTCATTAAGTATTTTGAATACATTGTTCCACACTCTCCTTGCCCATAGAGTTTCCTCTGAGAAGTCTGATGTCTGTATGGTAGGATTTCCTTTATAGGCTACCTGCTTCTTTTCCCTAACCACTTTCATTATTCTTTTTTAATTTTGTCTTGAACTCTGTCTTGAACTATTCATGACTATGTGTCTTGCAGGTCTCATTACATTTAGATAACCAGTTGTTCTTCTAGCTTCATGGACTTGTATATAGTTCCTTCCCTGGTTTTTGGAAGTTTTTCTGCATTATTTCTTTGAATAAGTTCTCTCCCCTCCCCCCTCCCCCTTCTGGGATATCCAGAAAGATCTTGAAGTGTTTCTTCAACTTTTCTTCTTATTTCTCTTTCTTCTACCACCTGGGTCCTTTATATATTGTGATCTTCAAGGTCACTAAGTTGACCCTCCATTTGGTTTCCTCTATTAATCTTTTTTCCATCCTGCGACTCCATTATTTTCTTGTTTAAATCTGCTATTCATTAATTGTGTTTCTCATGATATTTGTTTTCGTCCATCTTTTTGGATTTCTTTATTATGGCAATTTTGTACTCTCTGTCTGATAGAAGATAAAGTCTTCCATTCTTTGCGGCTTGGTTCTACAGAATTGTTCCCTTCTCATGGTGTCATATTCACTTACATTCTAAAGTTTTAAAATTAAAGGGGAACTTTCAGGGCCTCCCTGGTGGCGCAGTGGTTGAGCGCTGGGTTGCGAAGCTGCCCCCAGCCTCTGCGGCGCCAGTTCGATCCCTGGCTGCTCCCCGGCCACCGGAGGAAGGTCCCACATGGCGCGCAGACCTCTCCTGCCACCCACTGCTCCCCTCAGCAGTGTACTTCGGTCCTTCTGCCTGCTCTGCTCCCCGCTCTGGCTCTGGTGAATTCTCTCACCCTCCCGCGCTTCTGACTGTACCCAGTGCATGTATAAATAAATAAAAAAAATGAATGAATGAATGAATAAATAAATCTTTAAAAAAAGGGGAATTTTCACCAATTCTAAAATTAAAGGGGAAAAGTAGTGAGTGCAGCTCTAATGTGTTGCATTCTTCTGTGTGCCCGTTTTACTGTTTTAGATCTTCTCCTTAGGAGTTCTGCATTCTTCAGCAGTAGAAAGCTAGGAGTTTCAGGGCAGGCCTGAGAGGGCATGCTGGGAGTGTTGGGTACCACTCCTGACTCTCCACAATGGCCACCAGCTACCAGGGTACCCTATGTTTGCAGTCTGTGTTCACTGTGGTTATTTGCAGTTTCTGACTACACGTGCTAGGTGCAGGCCTGGAGGTCACTCAGTGGGAAGGGTGGCTTTCTAAAGCCCTTCTGGGAGACCTCTGGGTTATGGGTTCTCTTCCTTTTTTATTGACACTAGGAATGGAAATAATGCTTAGGTTTTAGTGTTAGGATTGGGTACGATGACAGGATTTTTTTCCCTTATATATGAGCTGTTTATCGTGTTATAAAGAATACAACACTTTAGAGGAAAAAAATCTTTCAGTAATAAATCAGTATTATTTCTTGCCTATTATAATTTAGGAAAACAAAATGTTTCTCTTTCTGATAACGTGAAACTGCCAACTGCCCAAAATAAAGGTGCCTAGAAATATAAGCCTCACTAATGCCATTTGCCTTAGCTTTCTGATATCCTGAATGTAAGCCTGTAAAAGCGGCTATTCTATCCATTTAAAACTCCCATCAGGGCTCAGGAACACATTCAATGTTGAGCTCTAATTGCTTTTGAGAGAGCAGAATTTAACTGGCCAAGTTACCTGTCAGAAATGGCCACACTGGAAATTAGATGCATAAAAAAGCCTGTCCACCTGTGGGGCTTCTATTTTATCATTGCCCTTCACCATATCAACAAAGAGTGCACACTTACATATCATCGAAGATAAGCTTCTGTCTCTTGCAGTCCTTGTGGCCATTGGAACCTGGAGACCATGGCTCTGTTTGTGGCCGTGACTTGTGAAGGAGAACATTCTCGGAATTGTGAGCTGCTTTCTAAACAACAAACAACACACGAGTCTGAGAAATTTGCCATCCAATTGAAAGAGCAACCCAATACACAGAATGTTTCATGTTCTATATTAGAACTGATGATGCTTTTTGTTAAAATAAAGACATTCATTCCAGATCTTAAGCTGATAACTTTTACAAATATTGTCAAATGTCATTCTCAAACAATATCAATAGGGGAGGCTTATTCTGGCACTCTCACAAATCCAGAAATGGAGGCTATCCAAATACTGTCTGATATAAACCTACGGATAGTGAGGCTAAGTAACTTGCCCAAACTTCATATAGCTATTGTGTGTGGAGGCCCAGGACTTAGAACTGAGACCCTTACTTTCCCCAGTTGGCTAGAAAAGTGGTTCTCCAAATTGACTATGTATCAGAATCATCCAGGGGGGAGTCTGTTAACATGTAGACAGCTGGGCCCCACCCTACTGAGTTTTTGATTCAGCAAGTCCAGAGTGGGCAGGTCTGAGAATATGAAATTCTTACAAGTTCCACATGATACTGATCCAGGAACTATGCCTTCAGAGGCACTGTGCGATAAACATCCCATGCAAAAGAGAAGTCATTTGGCTCACAATTGGACTGATCCTCACTAGCTGCCTGTGAAGAATAGGGAAAGCCAAAGGGGATTAGCAGAAATTATTTAAAATGTGTCTGAAAAAGGAACACAATTGATCTACAGAAAAATTAAAAGATCATCTTTCTTGGGCATATAAATATTTATAGAATACTTATTGTGTCTAAATACACGGATCATAAAACTACTCTTTGGTTATAGAAATGGACTAATCTGAAGAATTAAAATTGAGTGTATCCAAATGCTTCTTTAAATATGGACATTTTTATGTGTAGTTCAAGTCTCCTTGTTATTAGAGCCCCTAGAACTCTGCATTTCCTTTTTGGCATACAAGGTAGTTAATTATGGATGAATATGATCCTTAGCTTAAGTCTCTCTCCCATCTACATTGTAAATTCATGCAGCATAGACTGAATCTGGTAGATCAACCATGTAAGTATTTCTTTTCTTAGCACAGTGCCTGGTGGATAGAAAGTACTTGCTCAATAAATTTCTGTTTGGTGAAAGAATGACTCACTAAAGTCTGCAATTGACTTACAATACTCTGTATACCATAGTTGCTTGTGATTTAAGAATCTAGAGGCAAAAAGGGATTTTGTTTTTAATTTGCATTGGTAGCTTTTTATTACAGGTTTTTCTAATATGATTTTCTCAGATTCTTTCCACCAAGAATTAAGGATGATTTCTCCCAGATGAGGGTGCATAAGTGGCTTAATTTCCTGATGGTGTGATAGATTTAGTCTCTTCTAGGACCTTCCATTAATTTTTTTACCTCCTGAATTCATAGGATAACATATTAAATACTGCTCTTCCTGCTTCCTTATGTCCCCCCCCATCTTTCTTTGCAGAGTTATTTTCATGTCTTATCTCTTTCTGCCATAAAAACATAATGGTTTTGATAAGCATAGTGACCAAGAGAAAAAGAGCACTCAGTGGGGAGTGTCTGGAATTAAATAATGTGTCCTGGAGCATGCATGGTCCAGGCCACCAGCTGTTAGACAGAGGGTGGTGGTAAAGAGGAACTAATGTGCGGTATTAGTGGCATTGGTGTCGATAGTTGTTGGATTCTTTAGATAATACTTTCTCATGTAAATCTTACACCACTGTTTTGCAAGCCTCAGAGAAATTAAGTAACTGGCCCAAGGTCACATGGCAGCTAATATGTGAAGACAGGTGGACAATAAACCTAAGTTCCCACAGGAGAACAGAGTGATAGCATCATCCCTGAGAAGGCTGCTGGAAGAGGGGTGATGGCAGGGGTCTCAACTGTTTCTGCTACTCTGGTCACCAAGAGCAGAGTAGGAGTCCTGCAATTTTGACCTGGGGTTTTCAGCCCAGAGTCAGCTCTGCTGTAGGGCAAGAAATCTTTCCAACTGAAAAGACTGGTTGATCTAAAACTCCAACTGACTTTGCCCTGATATAGCTATGACTTTGGGGCCTTTTCTTCACACAATAAGATATAAAATTCTACAAAGAGGCTTCCTAAGCAGAAGAGGTTTAAAATACCTCTTCCAGTTTCTTCTTTCCCAGCTCTTGGTGGGAATTTGTGAAGGGGTGCTCTTCTCTGCCAGGACTTCCCAGGGCAGCACTTGGGGATTCCTTGGGAGCCCACAAGCATGCGTTTGGATTGTGCTGGTTTTTTGGTTTTTTTTTTTTGTGGGACCCTCGCCGGCTGCCGGGGAACGAACCGGCAGCCTTGCAGCCCAGCGCTCAACTGCTGCGCCACCGAGGCCCTGGATTGTGCTGTTTTAGAGGGAGAGTATAGTGGTGTGCTCAATTTCATTTTTACTTTAACTGGGAAAGGAAGAACACCAACATACTGTGAAATCTCCGACATGAGACTGCAGCTGGTTCTCAGCCTTATGCTTTTTGCTGGAGGAGGCAGAAGTGAACAGACCATTGCCACTTGATCTGGTGGAAGAAGTTAAGTCCTCGCTGGAGTATTTGTGTTTAGATGCATCAGAGAGGGGTGAGATGGGTGACCGCAGCATTTTTTCATTTTTATTTATTGGTATTGCCAAGCTGAAAAAAGAAATCACAATAATGGAATGTCACAGTCAGCACAGAGAAAGGTAAATATTTTATATGTGCTTAAGGCTCCCATTTAAAATCTGAAAGTAGGAAGATGTTTATTAGGAATTATTATACCAGGAAACAATTTTATGGCATCAGGACAATATCAAACAATAAGCAAATTTCATTCATCGTTTCTTTACTCGTCCTATCAAGATGAATAATAATTCTGGAGTTAGCACCAATGTAAATGACTAAGAATAATGTACTTTCATTTTTCAAGGTTTTCATACTAGGATCTCAAAGTACACAATGAATAACTTTCTGTTTTTCTTGCAGGTATAAACAAAATAATGGGAGTCAAAGGACATGAATTCTCCACTTTCGAAAGGACTTTTGCTAATGTCTGAGTTTGTAATTACTCTGTAGAAAATAACAAAATTATAGAGTAAACTGCAAAGCATGAAGTGAACTTCTACATGTTAGGTTTCTGAGCTAACCAGGCATTGATCAGAAAAAACACAGGATAGAAAAACTGTCATTCAAAGTTACATTTTTTTGATTCCGAGCTTCTTATTTTACCTTAAAAACTATCTATGCTGTCCTAACTTCCTCCCACATTAATCATCAGAGAAAAAGTCACTTATATTTGAATCTCTGCAATATACATTATATTGTTAGGGCTTTATCCATTACTTAAAGAAAATTGGGGGAAGACACATTAGTCTGAAATAAATGCTATATTTGCTAATTTGGGATGTTTATATAGTGGTCATCAGGCAGTTAAAAAAAGGTTAAATCCATTTAATAAAGATTAAGTAATTTTCCTGCAGTTATAACTTTTTTTTTAATAGAGGCATGTTTTATTTATTTATTTAATTTGTTTGTTTGTTTTGTTTATACATGCACTGGGTACAGTCAGAAGCGCAGGAGGGTGAGAGAATTCACCAGAGCCGGAGCGGGGAGCAGAGCAGGCAGAAGGACCGAAGTACACTGCTGAGGGGAGCAGCGGGCGGCAGGAGAGGTCTGCGCGCCATGTGGGACCCTCCTCTGGTGGCCGGGGAGCAGCCGGGGATCGAACCGGCGCCACAGAGGCCGCGGACAGCTTCGCAACCCAGCGCTCAACCGCTGCGCCACCGGGGAGGCCCTGCAGTTATAACTTTTTAATTGCACATGTTGATTATTAAAGTGTCATTAAAGTCACTTCAAAAAGCAATTTTCTAAGTTGTTGTCTCCATGCAAATGACAAACACAGGTCTCCAGAAAGTAATAAAGCTGAGGTTCTCAAAGTTAAGCAAATACATCCGTGTAGCATAGAATTTCTGGTGATAGATTGCTGGTCCAAAATGCACTGGCATCTAACAACTTTGAAGTGAGATATGTTCTGGAAAGTGCTTTGGGTGAATAAAAAGTGGCTCTGTCTAGTGATGTTGAATTTGGGTGTAGACAGTCCGAATATAATTGCTCCTTAAAATGTGAATGAAAAAAGTTGTATTTCTAAGTCTCCCTTATTTTACATACTATGTGATTTTAAATATTCATATAAAATTAAACTGTTACATTAAATATTGTCATGGATTATGATTATTTCTTCTTCATCATTATAAGTTTATATATTCAAGTGGACCAAAGAAACTTTCTTTGAATTGCTCTCTGGGATGGGTGTTCACCTTAAATCAAATTTGGGATTGTCTTATCACACTTGTGAAACTTGATAGCAGTAATCACAATTCTAGACCATCTTTCTAGAAAGAACTAAAACATTGTGCTTTATATGCACTGTGTCATAAATTAATACAAATAAAACTGTCAAAGTTAGAGGTTGTGGTTAGGCAAATGCTCCAGAGCAAGCACTTTTCTCCTGAGGGTCATGGAATCGGGAGGACAAATCTTACATTTTTATTTTCATTAATTTCTCCTTGAACAGAACATTTTCTTTTATGAATAAAAGCAAGAAATGAGTAGTGGTTTGGCAGGAATGACATTAGTCATTGTGTTATCAAATCATAGATATTTTTATATTATATTATAGTTATTACAGACATCTTGAATTATTGTCTATATTCATCACTACTTAGAAATTATGGTAGTTACAAGCTCTCCAGAAAGGTTATTTAATGCATTAATAAGGAAACAAACATGTAACTGCATTGCATATTTCAAAGGCAATCTGGGTTTTCCCCATACATACTTTCACAATATTTGGGGTACCATCTGTTTTGCACAGAGGATGTGGACTAGGTCTCGCTCTTGCTCAGACCTTCAATAGGTGGCACTGTCCTTTTCAAGGTGATTCTAACACTCAGGCCCCCTGTGCTATGTGCCCTCACAGGCGAGTTTTAGAAACGTTCTCCATCTTTTCCCAAGCTTTCAGTTTACATTTTTATGCATTGTGCTGAAACATTAATCTTCCCTTAAAAATTCTACAAATACAGTCAGGGAAAGTGGGGAGTGTCTTAGCAGAGGTAAAGTGGTTTCTGAGCTGTGGGATTTCTAAATGGAAAGAGTTTCTATGACTGATGATAAGCTACTTGCTTATAATAAATATCTGGCTCTTGCCTTGCTGGAAAACCATTTGTCACAGATGGGATTCAGTACAATGTAGGTCCAGTTGGAACTCCTTGAGAAGAGTGACTGGCGGTTGTGCAACCTTGGAGGCAAAGATCCTGTTGACCATCACAACAATTTTCTTTATATCCAAGAGCTTTAAGTGCATCATATGGAGATTCGCCTTTATGTTTACATTTTAATCACATGATTTGCTTAGTATTCTTATGGATGAAATAATGGTTTGAAAATTCATCTATTGAGTTTTCAGAGGGAAAGTATATCTATGGGAGTGTAGAAATGTGTTTAATTAGTAACAGGTCTTTTGTTATAAAGAGTAACAGTTGACTCCTCAACAATATGGATTAAGAATGCTGTCCTGGGCCTCCCCGGTGGCGCAGCGGTTGAACGCTGGGTTGCGAAGCTGCCTGTGGCCTCTGCGGTACCGGTTCGATCCCTGGCTGCTCCCCGGCCACCAGAGGGTCCCGCATGTCGCGCAGACCTCTCCTGCAGCCCGCTGCTCCCCTCAGCAGTGTACTTCGGTCCTTCTGCCTGCTCTGCTCCCCGCTCTGGCTCTGGTGAATTCTCTCACCCTCCCGCACTTCTGACTGTACTCAGTGCATGTATAAACAAACAAACAAACAAACAAATAAATAAAAAACATGCCTCCATTAAAAAAAAAAAAAAGAATGCTGTCCTGGCTCACAGTGGGAATCTACATATAACTTATAGTTGGCCTTCCATATATGTGGTTCAACCAATAAACACCCCCTTTGGTTGAATCTGTGAACAAGAAGCCTGCTGATAGAAAATCCAAATAAAAGAGGACTAGTATAGTTCAAACTTGTATTGATCAAGGGTCATGTCTACTTACATGGTACCTGGAGCTGTGATATAAGGCACACATCCAGGTATAATTATTTTTAGCCTTAAGTTGAATTAAGGGAAGCAAGTTTGGAGACCCTAAGCAGAGCAGTCATTAAAAAATCTGGCCCTCCCTCCCCATAAAGTCATACAGCAGAGATCCCTCCAGTGGTCCCCCACCTTCCAGAAACTGCACATACCTGTTGATATTCATGGTGCAGTGGTTTGCAGACAAGGTATTACTGGCAGATGTGGTCAGTCGTGAGGAGCTCTCTTTCTCTGCCTGGGTCTTCTTGACCTCCCTGTAGTCGTCTTCGTTGTCACACTGCATGGAAAGAAAACAAAACTCTTGATTTTGGATTTCAAGGAGTCACTTGAGCTCTGCCACCAACTTCCCCAGAGCAAGGCCGCCTGGACTGCTCACTTGTCTTCTCTGAAGAGCACCTGGCAGCAATGTGGTCACAGCATTCTTGCCCCTGGTCCATGTTAGCTTCTTAATGAATAAGGATGAAATCTGTCAGCTTTATTGATGTCAGCTTATTGAGAGCACAAGTACATGACTGGGATTAAAAATTGGAAGGGGACATTGTGAATGACGAAAATTGCATCACCATCAACAACCGTAGAATTTAGCCCTCCAATGAAGACCTGTTCTGAATTTATACTGTAGCTTTAGGCATTTCAAATGTAGCATCTCATTTGGCATTTCTTGGTATCAGAACAAGCATCAGAATATATAACAACTGGGCCTCCCCTGGTGGTGCAGCTGTTGAGCGCTGGGCTGCGAAGCTGCCCACAGCCTCTGCAACACCGGTTCGATCCCAGGCCACCGGGCGAGGGTTCCACATGGCTCTCAGACCTCTCCTGCCTCCCGCTGTTCCCCTCAGCAGTGTACTTCATCAGTCTGCCTGCTCTGCTCTCCCCTCTGGTTCTGGTGAATTCTCTCACCTTCCCGCGCTTCTGACTGTACCCAGTGCTTGTATAAATAAAAATATAAATCTTTTTTTAAAAAAAGAATGTATAACAATATAATCTGGGCTGGATGCAGTAGAGCAGTGAACAGATTGCACCTTTTTTTTTTTTTGGAAAACGTGGCTTTTATGAATTTCAAGCAAAGGTGGTTACTTCTTGGTACCTTAATTCTAGTTAACAATTACTATCCTATGACATCTTAGAATCCTTAAAGCACCTTTTTATAAAACAGTGCTTTGATTGGATTCTTTTTTCATGATTGTGTTTAAAGTTAGGTGTGTACTAGGGTGTAATGCAAACGCAGTCACAAAGTTCCATTTTTCAGGTGAGATAGCAGGAACACTGTAGTGATAATTTCAGGGCTCTCAGCAGTGTCTTCCATGAGACAAGTGTCAGCACCAAAGATAAAGACTTTGACCTTCTCTCCCTGGCTGATTGTCATACAGCCTCTGTCACAATGGTTCCTGATGCTCTCACTGAAATGGAACCAAAAAGTGGGCCTATACCAGAGCTCTGAATCCTAGTCCTGAGCTCTAGGGTTCCAGGTGGGTGAGAATGTGTATCTCTGGCTGCCAGGTCTATGGTGTCCCACTCCTAGCACCCAGTATTGGGGTCTTAACACCCCAGTTGCTGAGTAAAGAGTGCTGCAAAAATGTTCTTACACTTCTTTTGTGTCTGTGTTTACAATGATGATTCATTAGATATTATGAGAGCTGGGTGTCAGGCTTAGCAAAAATAAAGGGTTGTAAGTTTAAAAACACCATGAATAATAAAATTATACCTAATATTATGTGACTTTAATGTATGTCTTTCTGCTCATCTCTCCTAATGCATGTATATGTGTCTATAGAGCTATGCATTTTCCAATCTACCTATATGTTTATCAATTTCTGTGTTTTTTTTAATATATCCATGTATCTCTCTGATTCCATCATTTATCTATCAATCCACAGATGACTGTTTCATTCACTCACCAAAAATCACTTGAGCACCAACAAATAAATGAGTACAGGGTGTGTATACAAGAAAATCAGAAGAAACAATAGGGAAGGGGAGAGTTAACATAGTCTAACACCCTTGAAACACACTGTCTAAACACCTGCGTAGATGCGACCATTGTAATGATGAAGAAACCAAAGTTCTGAGGTGAGGTCACCTAGCAGATGAGGACTAACTACATAATTTCTGGGTTTCAATGCAGGATAAAAACAGTGTCCCTTGCTTAAAAAGCAGGAAAAGAATGCTTGTTATACAGTACTAAAATAGAAAGCATTTTCCTGATTTTTGCAGTCTGTCTCCTGACCTGTCATGATGTTGTTTGCTATTTCATATTGTGTTCTGAGGGGCACAGATACTCTCAAGTGCCAGGGGTCCTGTCCTGCAGCTAGGCACAAGCACCCAGCCTGCTATAGGGGTATGGGAAGATTCTATCTCCCATCAAATGTGGGACTCATGTGTTGAGGGGTGGGGAAGTCTAGACAAGTGTTTCCCCCTTCCATGGCCCATCCCAGACCCCAAGGTGAACGGTGCTTAGCACGGCATTCCTGTTGCTAATGACATTGTCAATGATGTTGTCTGAAATTTGGAACTATTTATTCATGGTGGGTTGCCACCTTGTTTGTTTTTCACTGTGGTCCAAGTTACTTCTGAAGATACAGTAACAGGAGGGTATAAAAATCCTCAAGTCTGGCTTTAATTTATGGCTAAATTATTCCCCTGCTCAAGCATCTTCAGATTGATGAGTGATTCCACCATCCATGCAGCCCCATCCCTCTCATTGAAGAATGAGAATACCATGGGTGTAGCTTTCCTCACAAACCTAGTGCGGCTTGATAAAGATTTCTTCAACTTGCTATAGGACAGGGCCTAATTATCTCTAAATATAAAATGGGACTAATGATGGAACTCCCCTCACTGGGAGGTACTAAGGGCTTAATTGGGTTAATATATATCAAATACTTACAACAGTATCTGGCATGCATAAAGTATGAATAAATAAATATGAATGTTTGAATAATAAATAATTTGAATTATTTATCATAATTACATTTATAATAAATAATTTATTACAGATTATTGTATTATTCAATATATCTACTAAATATATTGAAACTTTTGAATAATAAATAAAGTAAGACTATTTGTTAAGGTCACATCAATCTCTTGCTGCCGGGTTCCAGACCCACAGCCTCCCAAGCTCCTCAGCTCTGACCACAAGTAAAGGAAAGAACCTCCTTGCAGGCCATGCCCTCAGCCCCAGGCCTACCTTGCGTTTCCTCTTAGATTTTGGCAAAGCCTTTTCAGTGGGTGTGTCTGAGGAGTGACTTGCAGGTGCACCCTCGGGGTCCTTGGCGGCAGGGGCGCTCAAGGCCCCCGGATCCTGGGGCAGGTGCTCTGGGATCCTAGACAGGAGGGTCAGGTCAATTTTGACCCAGAGAGACCTGACCTCATCACTGTCCTTCAAGGGGGAGAGAAGTTCATTGCGGCCAAAGGGCACCAGCGTGTAGAACTGCTCCTCTAGCTCCTTGGCGATGTCACTGGTGGTCCTGGCGTTGATGGAGCCCACAGGGGCCCGGGGGCCGCAGCCACTGCTGATGCTGTTGGGAGCCTCCTTCAGCCTCTGGTCATGCCCGGAGACCGCGGCATTTGCCGGCACGGCCTGTGCTTTGGACAGAGGGTACTCCTCCTGCTCCGACTCCAGGTCCGAGTCCGAGGAGGAGGACGAAGAGGACGACTCTGTCTCGATGAACTCTTTAGATTTGGGCACGATCCTGCTCAGCCCGCGCGTGCGGCGCTTCTCACAGGTCACCGAGGAGCGCAGCTCCTTTCTGTGGCTGGTTCTGCTGTTGCCGCAGGGCCTGGTTTTGGTGGGCTCTGGAGGGGTCACCACGCTCGCCCCCAGCGCCTCGGTGCCTGTCGGCTCCTCAGGCCGGTGGCAGTTGGCACCGTCCCCGGCGGAGGTCCTCTCCGTGCGCCGGGTGGGCTTCTTGCCTGTGGATCTCCGGGCGGGCGCGGGCGCGCTCTCCGAGGAGGGGGCACCGGGCACCGCCGGCGCGGGGGCAGCCCCGGTCACGGCCACCGCTGCGGGCGGGGACTTCTGCTTCACCCCTTTATTCCCTGGGGCCTTATTTGCTGTCCTTGGTCTCTGCTCCTCCTTGCAGGCGTTCTTGATGTCCTTCTCTCGCAGGCTGGCTTGGCAAACATCGGGCAGTTTCCCACAGTCCTGCACTTCGTCTTTCACTGGGGTGTAGTACTGATTGCTCTCTGGCCCGTGGCTTTCATTTTGGATCAAAATCGGAGGCTTGTGGGGATTAACTTTGTTTAGCCATTTATCCAGCTGCCACTTGTTAGAGGACACTGGTTCGGCCTAAAAGCAGAAAAACAGCAACAAAGAAAACATCTTTTATTACAGGCTCACTTACAAGGCTGTATTTATCTTGATTTACTCTTCTAGGTGTATGAGCAGAAGCTGAATGGCTGGAAGCAAAAGGTAAATGGAAGCAATAAGAGGTAGCAGCTCGAGGCTGGCACAAACGGTGCGGGATGGGGGTCTCCTTACTGGCGCAAGGCACTTAAATGTCAGCCTAGTGGTTCTAAACCTATGTGGAAAAATATGGGGGCTGGACCTTGCTTCTTTAGAACCCACTTCCAGCACCTTTGGGTGTAGTACATGTATGTATTTTTATAATTATATGACAAATTTGAGATTCCATAAAAGTTAACTGGGGAATAATTTGGAAGCACTGAGTATTAAAACACTAATTTTTTTGGTGAGACTTAAAATTTTGGAGGACATTTGAAGAGGGACCAAGTGGACCTATAACCTCTTAGAATTAGCATATAATTTATGTGTCAAAGGCAACTAGGGCACAGTTATCTAGTAGAAGCAATGACTTTGGAAGTCTGTTTAGTGGCACAGAACTCCTGTTTCAAAGGGACCTCTCTGTGCCCTCTATGTTTAGCTGCCAGATTTGGTTAGTCCATCCTCAATTTGCTTCCTTCCCACTTCACAGAAATATTTCAGACATAGAGGGGACAACAGAACCTAGCCTGCAAGAAGTTTTGCTACCTTAGAGCAAATCATGGACATTACAGGCTTTAAACTCTGGCCCATAGATTGATTCCACCGAGTGAAGTCTCTCAGAAGGGAATGTGAAATGTTATATATGCAGTTTTTCTGGAGATGTTCATAGTTTTCATTGGCATATTTAGGGATATATGTCTCATTAAAAGTTTAAGAACCCATGACTTTATAGACAGTAAATGCTTATTTCTAGTAAAAGCCATTTATCAGCATCTATGATTTTAATAGAAAAGAAGCATATTGATTAGAACTTTAGCCAGACTATTTTTAAGCTGTGTCTGAAAGCGAAATTGAAAATGTTTTGAGTGACAAGGTGATGTATTTTTGCCTCCTTAAGGAATTAGTGCCATCCATTGTTTCAGGGGGAAACTAGACACCAGCCTAGAGTAAAGAAGATTATTACTTAGCTTTACATTTCAAACTTGACCAGTTGAAGTCTAGAGCAAGCCAGGCTCCCTGATAGGAGAAAAATATTTTAAAAATAGAATGATTTCCAAAGATTACTTGTATGTACAAAGATTTGTGTTTTAACAGTGAGGTACATTAAGAGCAGAACTTGGGTCACAACCACATGCAACAAGGATCTGAGGGGAATGAAGAGGGAGCAGTGCTTCAGGCTGGGTCTGGAGGCATATAGGGCAGAGTTCGGGGAGATGGAAGCCTCTAAGGGACTAGGGGTGACTGGACCCAAGATGAAGAGGCCACAGAATGTGGAAATCAGGTGTGAGCGCTATGGCAGAAACCACAGACATTCTGCTGGTACCCCCCAAAAAGATGAGAACAACCATTCTTCAGGGAATACCAACTCAGTATTCCCTGAGACTGGCTACCTCCAATGACTAGAAGGGACTAGAGTCATTTCAGTGGAGGCCAGTATGAGAGTCTGAGGCCCTTCCTGGAGGGTAGAGAGGCTTCACCTTGGGACATAGGTTGGGAGAACAAACCCTCATGTACCTGAGAGGGAATTACCATTTAACTTTTTGCTTTGTTTGTTTTCATGCCACCAACAGGACGAGGGCTCCAGAGCAATATACAGAAGAACTAAACAACATTATCTTTTTCATACCTCTGAGTTGTTCCTAAAATTCTTCTATGGAATATATTTTGATTAAATATTTAATGTCCAGAAAAAAAAAATAAATTCTGACCTGGCTTTATTTTGACTTCTCCAGAGAAAGGGAACAAATGAGAGCTTCAGAGTACTCCTGTACATACTGCAAGGTTAGGTGCCTGCAACAGGGCAAGCGGGACAGCGGGCCACAGAAAAGCTTCTTTGCCAAAGGGGAAGCTCTCACCTTGCCTGAGACTAGTTCACTATCTGAGACTGGCTGAAAAGCAAATTTGGTGGCAGACAATTGATAGCTTCTGATGTTGCTCTTCCCGGCCTCTCTTTCTCTTACTATGTTGATGATCCCTCCTCACTTCCCTGGACAAATGGAGTTTAGTAAGTATGAATGGATGTTGAAGGGAATTCTTGCAGAAGAGGGACATATTTTGGAGAGGGCACAGGCATCTATGGCTGAGCACACCACCACATGTACTCTAGTTCTCCCTCTTCTCCACCATCCTGAACCTTCCACAGTTTGCACCCCCCATATGAGAACGCAGCCATCTGTCTGCAACCAAAGCACAGCTGCACACAGGGAGATCTGCACTAAAATTTCCTAGTGGAGTGTTAACTATGAATTTAATAAGTTCAGTATGGGCCCAATACCTCATGTATTTTAGGGTCATTTATTTCCCTCTGTACTTCACACTGAAGAAATCAGTCTGAAGTACCATTTTCAACACATCACTAAATCACAGTCCTGTTCTCAAGGATATAGAATGACCTCCTAGTGCCTCTCAAACAAAATCCAAATTCCTCAGGCTGGTGTTCAAAGGTATCCATCATCTTACAATCATCATTTCTTGCTGGAACACCTACAATACACAGCCCAATTTATATATATCGTCTAATTTAATCCATGCAGATAAGAAATACTATCACCCTGAATTTGAAGAAGAGGCTTGGGGAGGTTAAGTGATTCCTCCAAAGCTGTAGAGCTACCAGGCACCAGTGAGACTAAACCTCTATTTGTCTAGGTTTAAGGACCAGATTTTCTCCACTGCTGCTTTGCCTAATCTCCCATTACCCTCTGGTGTCACTGCCTGGATGGAGGACCTCATTCCTCTGAGAAGTGCTGGTCTTCAACCTAAAATGATAGAATTAGACCTGCTTTTTGAAAACATCACTAGCTCTCCAAACAGCACCTGCTGTTCTCTACTGTTTTCAACTGCATAACCTTTTGATGTCTGTATTTGTTTCACATGGATAAGTCTTGTGTCTTCAACAAAGCTAAACACTTCTTGCAGGCTGGGGCCCCATCTGTTTCTTTTGCATGCCTTGCAGTATCTATAATAGGTTAGGAATGCAGATAGCTATGACTGTTACTAATAGAACTCATAATGAGCGGTCCCTCGAATTCTATCATTTATTCCTTAAAACAAACTCACCTACAAGGCAGGGCAGGAATATCAACCATTTTGGGGATGAGTTGGTTGTGGCCAAGGACATGCAAGTGGTAAAGAGTTAAGGAGCAGTAGAGGAGGGCGAACTCAGGGTTTGGGACTCTTGTCCAGTGGCATGCTGCTGGTTATGGTCCACTTCTGAGCTGTCCACTGGGGTTTCTACCCAAAGTTTTTGTTGGTTTGCTGCTGCTTTATATTTTCAGTCACAGATCTACCTGATTAATCTTCCTTTGGATTCATGCACAAGCTCTCCACCGCGTACTTTAGTCTCACTGCATCTATATTCCCTATAGCCCCCACTGCCACTCACCCCATAGATGCCTATTGTTGAATCAACGAGTAACTAGTATGGCGCTTCTGCTGATTTTCATGATATTCTAAAGCAGCATTCTCCAAGATGTGCTTTTAGTTCATATATTCCAGGAAGAAAGGTTTCCATGATCAGAGATGTGTGGGAAATGACACAGCCATACTGGACAGTTCAGGAGAGCCCAGTAGATTTCTAGGGTTGGCATGTTGAGGGGGAAAATGTGGGGGCCTTGGCACACCATGAGAGACTTTTCATCTGCCCCCATTAGGATGTTGCTTGTATGGGGAAGGGCAGGTTAGCAACATCTTGCTTCAAAGCAAAGCAGAACTGGTCTGGGTGGTGGAGTATGAAGTTTGTAGCCATAAAGAGTCCCATTGTACTATGGGATTCAGGGAGACAAGTGTTTCTGGTTTCTGTAAGGTGACCTGGCCGGCTCAGAGTGAAATAGTGTCACCGTTAGTGGAAGGTTAGTAGTATGATGCTACTTCCCAGTCATTTTCATTCTGCAAACTCATTTCTAAAGAGAGTGTCTTTGTATTAATCTTGGGGCGGGGGAAGTAGTAAAAGAAACCTTACTTTTATTCCAATGAATACATTCCTTTCCAGCAAAAAGGGCAAACACACAGTATGGCTGACACTTCACTTGCTACTTCTGTGTTCCCTCTGCATAGAGAAGCATGGAATTGAAAACTTTATGTGGCCTCAAGCATCTGAAACTTTTAGATCTGCTTTAGAAGACTTGTGTTCTCTCTCCTTACCTAGGGGCCTCTGATAGCTGCTGGAAGAAATGACAAGAGCTTCCTTTCATCACCGAGGGGTTCATGTCTTTGTAATTATCTCAGTGACATTTAGAAAGAATTTGCTTAAAGCACTTTATAACTATACTTAGGCTAGAATTCAAGCCTAGCTCATTCAGGAGCGACAGGATTCACATTTCAACATGAAAAGAAAACTCAACTTATATGAATTTAACCTTTAAAGTGACAAAGAAGGGCCAGGACAGGGGTGTTGTCACAGATACTAACGCCTTATTATCATCTATCTCCACAATTCCCCTTGGCACTGTAGATGACCAAGGAACCCCATTATTTCCTATAACTAAATACTCTTTAGTTTCTCAACAAACTATAGCATAAAGCTGGCTTTGAAGAAGCCTATCGAACTCCTCTCTTGTATTTTACTTCTATATATTTTTTTGTTTCAAATTATTCCCATTAGACTGTCTGCTCTATGAAGACAGTGACCATTTCTGTCAGATAATTGCCATAGGCCAGTGCCATGCACTATGTCTGTTGCAGGTGCTCAATAAATATTTGTGGTACACTAAATGAGTGAATGAACGAATGAAATAATTTAGTTCCTGGAAAAAGTCAAAGTTCCATTAACCTATAGTTTTTATAGATTAATGTTGCTAAGGGCTTTCATCTTCTATAGGGTGATACATAAACATATGCATATGTATACATACATGCAGGTTGATATAGATATGGAGAGGACAGAAAATATCAGGAGAGCTGGCTTATTTTAGGATGAACAAAGAAATCTTGGTACAGAGCAGAGAGATACTGAAGAAGAAATGAGAATTGTGAGGAAATAAAACTTCCTTGGATTTCTCAGTGTTTCTGAGAAAAGCTTCAGCTTCCTTAGAGGAGCCTGGAAGGGGAAAAACCTGTGGGAATTGAAGAGCCACTCTATGAACTTGAGACAAAGACAGAACTGCTTTCAGGTGTGATGATGTTCTAAGGGACAGTACAAAAGGTGAGAAAGCCCTTAGCAACATTAATCCATAAAAACTATAGGTTAATGTAACCACTGGGGGCTGTGCTCTCTCAATGGTGCTCCCCCCTCACCTCCCTGGTTTACATAAGTGGGTTTGGTTTCATTTAGAACCTACTTAGAAATTTTGGGCCCCAAAATGGTACAAAGGGATGTAGGTATAAAATTAAATCCTATGATTCTTAGTAATGTCAAATGATTATACATTCAAGAAGAAAACAATTTTATTTTTTTTATAAAATAAAATCTATCCTACACAGATCCACAGATATGAGAAATCTGCTCTTAACCCTTTCTCAAGAATCGCCATGCTCTGAAGTACTATTTAATTTTCCCTTGCTCCCTTTAAAATAGAAATTGCAATGGTGTTTATTGGGACTTACAATGTTTTCATATGAGACACCTAAATTTTCCTCATAGGTACTCATAGCTATAAAACTTTCATTATTATTTGTAGGTTAGTGCTAATTTTTCTTTTTGTATTTTCACAAAGAAAACACAGTTAAGAAGGTTTTTATTAATATTTATAGTCCTTGTTCTTCTAATCCATGACAAACTGTGAAAAGGTAGATTCTAACCATGTCTAATCCATAAAACTCCTTTCCCAGTGATAAATGGTAGCTGCACTTCCAGGTGGTGAGCTGCCCTGTGTGGTGACTGCCTTGGCCATCCATAGGTATTTCCAGTCAGTGATATTTACAGCATATTGGAAATTTCTGGAAGTGAAGGAGAGATTTCTGGACAATGAAAGATGAAGTTTCTGTATTTCAAAGAACATCTGTAGTTAGGAAAAGTGTGGAGGGAACACCACGGGGGACAATGATGAACCCAAACAAACCCAGATGGGCTGCCAAGGGGTGGTGGGCTACTGGTCAGGACTCTTAGGTCAGTCCTCCCATTAAGGCATTGAGATTGGGGGAGGCAAGAGGAGTGACAAGCACACTACAGGGATTGACAGTACTCCCCAAAAAAGCAGGCAGGAGAGGGGATCCGGGTGAGCAGTCTTACCTCGGGGCTGGAGTAGTGGGGTGGCTTGCTGCCCTCATTCTCACTAGAACTGCTCTCTGTCTCGGAGTCCGATCCTGAACTGCTTTCCGAGTCACTGGAGGAGCTGCTGCCGCTGCTGCTGCTGCCGCTGCTGCTGCCCTTGCTGGAAGGCACAGAGGATCGGCAATTGGCCTGCTGGACCACAGCGCTGCCAGCCAGGGAGGCCCCCAGGAAGGAAAGGGAAGGAAAGGCAAGTGAGCAAACACAAATACACCACCCAGTGAGCTGTCATTCACCCAAAGGGAAGAGGAGGCCTCTGCCAGCCATCACCTGGAACTCAAAGACCAATCAACATAGTCACAGGCAGCCTAAGGGTTAAAAATTATATACATAAATAAAATTGGGAATGAAGGCTGGCGCCCCTTGAAAGGAAGGCTCTAGTTATTTGTGTGGTCATTTTAGAAGGGACAGTGGCATAATTTTAGAGTGACTCTTTCTATTTTGCTGCTGCTTCTGGGAATGGCTTTTCAAATGCATTCCCGAATCCAATCAGCTACAAAAATGCAAGGAAATCCAAAAATACTTGAAATGTTTTGCAAACAATGACAATGTCTGCTTTATTTTAGGAAGGGGGCTGTTCTGTTCTGTGCTTCCATGGCCTACTAGAAGGTTCCAGAGGCTGTCAAAATCCTGCTTCCCTCCTCTCCTGGCCCATAGAGTGCTATAGTCTTTACCAGAGCTGGTGTGCTGTATAAACAAGTCACTTTCCACTGAGCCCTTTCTTAAAGAACTGAAGATCCATCACTTACATGTTTTTATGTATTCCAGACTTTAAAATTCAACCCCAGTTTAGTGGGCTTTTAGCAACAGTATTTCAAATTTATACTTGATGTTCATATTACATGCTGAAATTTGCCAGAAAGTCATACACATACAGACAACAGGAAAAACTGATGCTTTCTAATGGTAATTAATTAACCACAAAATTCAAATAGCACATAACCACCCAGAGTGTTTGAGCCAAAAAGAAAGTTTCAGTACTCACATAATATTCAACATCTTCAAAGTCCTTATTAATTGCATTGAAACACATATGAATCTGTTCTTTTGAGTTCAAATTCTAAACCCAGAAAATTCAGTGATCGCTTTTTTCATGTTGAGTTAGCAAATAACTGCTTGCCCCTTCCAACTGTGACCACTGCTTCAATAAGACTGAACAGTGGAGAAGGCCAGGGGGAAACTGTCAGGGTTTATGGCTTCAAGTGCAAAGCAGCCTGGACAAGGTAATGGACCCTTTTCACCCACCCCTTAAATCTTTGAAAAATGCTTTGCCCAAGGACAGATTCTCATAAATCCTCAGGGTAGGGGTAAGGAGGGGGGTTAGTACTCATAGGAGCCTTGCTTCTCTTAGAAGGATGACAAGACAAGAAACTATCTTGCAGGATCTATCTGAAAGCAAAAAAAAAAAAACTGTTTTGAACTGCAGGTTAGGGGAAAGTGGAGTTTGAACATAACCTTCCCTAGTGGTTTAGTGGTTTTTATTTCTTCCATCAATGACACGGTCCATACCTATTATCTGAAAAAATTTTCTAACATCAGAAACATCTGCACGTTTATGCCTTGCCTGAGATGCAGCAATTTCTTTTCCAGCCTACCATTTGTGTCTGGTGTTGAGTGAGGAATCCTGGATCGTTAGACAGAGGCAGGGGAGGGAAAGTTGCTAGTCAAAGGGCTGTACTATTTGTTTCCTTTCTTACAAACTAAAATCCACCTTTCCTGTTGTATAAGTTGAAACCTCTATAGAGTCATAATAATAATAATAATAATAATAATAAAGACTCTGACCAAGCATGACCTCCTGGGGTCCATGTTAGCCAGTAGGCCCCTAAACAATGAGAGAAAAACCCCAAACAAAAAAAAAATTGCCCAAAGCAAAAGAACACATGGTAGAGGAAAGAGGTGTGTCTCTGCCACATTCTGGAAGGATGATCGCTGAAGACTGGGAAATCAAGATGAATAAAGAACATTTTGATTGGTTTTGTATGATGGTCAAAGGTTTTGATCACCAAGCAGTGCATTCTATCTGCTTGAACTCAAGCAACAAAGAAGGTGACGGTGCTTGGTGTACCTGGGTGTCATGGGGCAGCAGGAGCAGCAATGCACAGAGCTCCCTGGGGTCTGAACTACAAAGTGACTGGCTGTCTCCTGAAAAAGCAGCACTTTAATTTCTGTGAAAATGTCCATTAAACAGTTACCATGCTGCCTTCCTTTTATGACAGTGGCTGTAGAATAATGAGATACCCTAGCCCAAGCAGACAGAATCTCAGATCTGAATTAGATGGGCAGAAAAGGCTTCTACTTTTATGTTTCTCTTCTTTAAATCAGGAAATTGACTTAAAATGACAGGTTTATTGGCGTAACCATTATTTGTTTTTAAAACAGTTCAGAGAACCAAGAGTTTCAGGTTTTTATTCATGGTATGCTGGAAAGGGCTGATGATGCCTCTAGGGTCAGGGTTGAATACATTCGTGTTCCAATGGTCCTCATGGAGAATATATCTCCAGAGACCATCTGTGCAGAGAATGGAAGCAGGCTTACCTGGAAGGGTTCTGGGGGCCCTAGTTGAGGCATGGGGATGACTACACCTCTCTCAATGAAGTTTACTCCATTAACTAGTCTTTGGGGAAGGGTTGGTCATTCAGGCCTCAACATAATGATAGTTCTTGCTACGAGTTCATGCAGTTGTTTTGTCTGTTGGGGCAGCTGCAGTGAGAGTGGCAGAATAAAGCTGAGGAAAGTCATCAGTGCAGGAATAGTACTAAGAAAAGGTTTCGTGAAGCCAGGAAGGGTTTTTAGAGTCACAGAGTCAAGATGGAAAAAGATAACAGAAAGATCTGGAAAGAAGACTGTAGGTTCTTCATGGATTTAAAATTGTAAGCTGAAAATTTTAGTGTGGTAACTGGTTGTCATGTCTGCATACCAAGGATACTTAAGGAAATTAACTTAAAAATTAACTCTTTCCTGAAATGATAAAAATGACTGGATGACATGACACCAGAGCCTTGGACAATTTCTAGGATTGCTCTCAGAGAATATATCTTTATCAGCCCTTTTAGGAAGAAGGTGCCGGTGAGTTTTCTGACATGAAAATGTTACTTTATGTCACCAAACTTAGCACAGTGGTTGGTGTGTTCGCATTTGATCACTGAAAATAAGATCAATAGAAAAAAAAATCCCTCATTGAGTTAGTGAGTTAAAAATAAAGGAGTTAGCCTTCAAAATTATTGTAATCTATTTTCCAATAAAACATATTTAAGTGGAGTTCAGCTCCTCTTATGTCCTTTCAATTTTAATACTTCTTCCTTTCAGAGAATTATTTTCTTATTTGCCCTCTAAATTTCATCTGCTATTAATTAAGCACAGAGCCCTCTTGGAGTGTTTATTTACTTTTTGCATTTTGATTTCATGAAATGTTTTACTGATTTTGTAAGTCGTCAAGACCAAATACATCTTGGAGAGAGTCCAGGTTTATTCTAAAAGGTCAGCTTGTTGTAGGAGTCCTTTCCTTTGGTTGTAGTGACACATCACATTCCTTCATGAAGCTGGCTCTGTTGAGTTTGAATTCAGACTGCAAAAGAAAAGATCTGGAATCTAAATGACAAATCCTGGACCTCACAGTCAAAGGTGTTTCTGCCTGGCAACCATATTGTTGGGCCTGGAGAGATAAATATCCAAAGTTCTCCACCAGCTTTCAACTAACAAGTGATGAGGAGGGGCCTCCTTGCCTGGTTGGCAGTGTGGAGGTGGGGGGTACTCTGTTGGCCCTGACCCAATGATGATAGTGCTCCAGTTGCTTCTCACTCAGTACTCTGTAGGAGCTCAACAAAAACTAGATTTCCATTCTCTGTATTCTTATACCGACAGCACCTTTATTGATATTAATTGATCTAAAACTATAACAACATTAAGAGAATTGAAAAATGGTAAAAGCTGGTACCAGGAGGTTCCCTGTTACTGGACTTATATTCCAAAAAATAAAACTCACAGGACTGAATTTTACTATACCTCCAGGAATGATTCTATAAACATGGCTTTTGAAGCTTTTCATGGTCTGGTCTCCATAAGATCTCCAGCTTCACCTCCGAGAGTTCATCCCTAAACCTCAACCATAATAGCAGTAAATTTCTCATTATTTAGAAAACTTGTGTTGGTTTATAGCTGGGGGCCGTTGTACATGCCATTTCCTGTGCCAGAAAGTTCTATTTTTCCTCTTCTGATTACCTCCTACCCGATCTCCAGGACTGAGCTGCAATGCTACCCTATTTTGTTCAGTTTTCCTAATTTCCCCAGGCAAGATTGATGTTTCCTCCCCTGAGCTACTCTATACTCCAGCACACTCCTCATTTCTCTACTATAGACTTTACCATATTAAGGACAGGAATTATCTCATTTATCCTTATATCCTCAGAGCTAGCAGAGGACTTGGCATAGATTATCAATAAATATTGATTGAATGAATAAAAAAGAAATAATGTGATACAGTAAGTCAGTGTATTTTATTATACTATGAAATAGCCCACGAGAGGTTTACATATATATGAATGGTTGTTTGTTTGTTTGTTTGTGGTTAAATGTTGCCTTGGGGCTGCCTAGGAGTTCATAAAACGTAACTTTAGAAAGCTATCATCTACATTATAGGTTGAAAATTGACATCTACAGGGACTGGGCAAGTAGGACACACAAATGAAGTATCCAGGTATAATAAAAACAAATGCCTAAAGAGTGATCATAAGTGGCAGTGGACCCTTGGCTATCTAGTGGGGAAAGCATCAAACTGGATGTCCATGTGGGTTAGTACTATTTCCCCACACTGCATATTTGTGTCACATGGAAATGAGAGCACAGTGTTAAAAACCCTTTGATTTTTCAGAGGAAGCTCCCAAACCTGATGTCTATATCAAAACTCCTGATTTGAAAATGCTAGTAACTAATTTGAAAAAGTTTTAGCAATATCTGTAAGTCAGATGAGGCCTGGCAAGCAGTAGTTTGAGGCCCTTAGTCAATGTCCTATTAACACACACTTTGAATCCCTCAGATGGGTCCATTTTTTTAAAAGATTAATTTATTTATTTATATAAGCACTGAGTACAGTCAGAAGTGCGGGAGGGTGAAAGAATTCAGCAGAGTCAGAGCGGGGAGCAGAACAGG